CACTTTTCTTAAACAGGGATAAAATTTACTTCGTGTAAGTGCAGGGATGTGCGTCAATCAAATGCGTCCAGAAATTCGTAGCTTTAATAATTTCCAGATAGAAGTTTTTAAAAACGCTTTTATAATATTTTGAGTGAAATGTTCTTGCTACATATAAATCATTATATTATACTGAAAATTTTAGAAATCATTAACTTCATATTTGTGCCCAGATCCCTTTAATATTTTTTTTCCAACTAAAATATCCAAATTAGAAAGAGATGTGTCAGACTCTGTCGTGTCTTTTATTTCGAGTTCAAAGGGATATAGTGAATAGGGAATTAAATACTCGTAGTACATCTGTTAATTTTTATTGAATTAATTGTCATTTTGACTGGAGGCTTACCGATTTCACTATAGAAATTTTTTTAAGGATAATATGAAAAGATTAATGACTTGTACACTTGAACTTAGTCATTTCGAGCTGATATCTCGACAATGGATAATGGTATGTCGAAGTGCTTTGAAAGTCAAGACCACTATTTTTTTTTTTTAAATTTCTAACCGTAATATCTCGAACATTTAGATATCTCGAAGTTCCATTGAGTTTAAGATAGCGAAGTTTGACTGTATTTATTTTCGTAAACGTGACAAACCATCAAAACAAAACAACAAACTTAAAAGATTCCTTGTTTACTCATTATACCTGAAAATTACCTGAAAAACTTTATAAACGGGTGTTTTGTTATTTTTCTTTATGTACGATAAAGTTTTATCCGACCATATGCATGGCGTTTTCATTTGGTTTTTACAAGAAATAAATTTTTAAAAAAACTAAGCAATGGTTCTCTTTGAAGCAATTGTAATCTACTGCAAATATTTCATGAAAATATAAGAAATATTATTGTAAATAAGAAATTCGTTTGATACGTGTATATTTATAACAAGAGGCCCAAGGTCCTTAACGGTCACCTGAGTATAATACAACAATTTAGAAGTTAAATACACTGACAGATGAAGTTTTGTTGCCCTAAAGCAAGAGAAGTAGGAAGATCAGGATCAACAAAATAATTAGTCTAGTATTCAGTATCAACTCATAACTTGAGTTCTAATCTATCCCCCACTTAATATTATCACCATGCAGACTATTAACAAACTATTAGTGCTTCTGTACTATTTTTAAACCCATATTAAGGCCTCTAGCATTGACCTCTCTTATGGTCTTTGAAGAACTTTTAATAAGATAAGTTATTTTTGTCTCATTTTTATTTATCTATTACTTACAGGTCTGCCTGATTATTAAAACTAAGAAAGTACTTTTTCAATTATGCGATAAACATTCTTGCATAATTATCTTATTCTATTAATCTTTCAAATACATTATTTACAGTGATTAATTATCAAAGGTGAATGGAAAAGGGGAATAACTTCTCTCAGTAGAATACAAATTAATAGAGCCCTGTCCAGGACCAGAATGCTTAGACAAATTGTCCAGATGTTCAAACATAGGTAATCAGAGATTACAGAGCTCACCTCAACGAATGTTGTCTTTAAGTAAGGCAAAGTCCCACACTAAACTAATAATCTAGGAGTGTGCATCCCTAGATGCAACATTTATGCAATTTTGGTCTGATAGGGCTTGCAATTACTTGGGAATGGACTTATCTGAAAAAATAAAACTAGACACTCATTCAGAAAATGTAAGTCAAATCCAGCATCCGAAGCAAGTTTTGAGATTGTTTGTCCCTTGATGCATCATCCATGCAAGTTTGGTTCAGATAGGCCTTATAGTTACTTGGAAATGAGATCTGCTCCAAAAACTTTAATCTGGTCACTCATCCGGAAAATATAGGTCAGATTCAGCATCTGCAGCAAGTTCAATACTGTGCATCCTTAAGTGTATCATCCATGCAAGTTTGGTCAATATAGGGCTTTTAGTTACTTGGAAATGGGATCTGCTCCAAAAACTTTAATCTGGTCACTCATCCGGAAAATATAGGTCAGATCCAGCATCCGAAGCAAGTCAAGTAGTGTGCATCCTTAAATGTATCATCCATGCAAGTTTGGTCAATATAGGGCTTTTAGTTACTTGGAAATGAGATCTGCTCCAAAAACTTTAACCTGGTCACTCATCCGGAAAGTATAGGTCAGATCCAGCATCCGAAGCAAGTCAAGTAGTGTGCATCCTTAGATGTATCATCCATGCAAGTTTGGTCAATATAGGGCTTATAGTTACTTGGAAATGAGACCTGCTCCAAAAACTTTAACCTGCTCCAAAAACATTAACCTGGTCATTCTTTAGCTGAAATTGCAGCATCTGAAACCTTGACTGGTACAATGAAACACACTAGAAGCATCCTCCATGCATCTCTGACTAATATAGGCCATAGAAGTACTTGAAAAGAAAACTGCTCCAAAAACCTTAACCTGGGACGCCGACGCCGAGGGTATTACATAAGCTCCCCCAACTTCGTTGAGGTGAGCTAAAAATCTGGTAGAAATACGCTTACTTATATCATTTAAACTTTTACTCTGTTTGCTTTCGATATGCCCAGAAGCAGAGAAGAATTTCACAGGTACAATGCATTTTCACTACAGATTCAACAAAGCCTTACCCTAACACCAGAACCCAAGACCGAAGGTCAAGAAATTTACAAATTTGGAAGAGTTACCCTCATCATCATAACTATGGACTTCAAAAAATTAACACTTTTCCACAATATTATCAAAAGCCCCCCCCCCTTCCTCGTTATGCCAGAACCCCTGACCCTAGGACCACAAGATTTAAAAATTCTGTTCGAAGCTCCCATCTTCATCATAGCTAAGCAATTTATTTATCAGCTCAACACTAAGGAGCAGACAGGATTAGTCAATGATTAATTAATAGAATTAATGCATTTTCACTATATAATCAATAGAGCCCCCCTCCCCCCCCCCCCTCCTCAAGAACCCCAAAAACTGAGGCCATGTATTTAAAAATTTTGGAAGAGGCATCCTTGCCTATCATAATCATGCACTTAGTTTGTTTAAATAATCTCCAGTAGCAAAGAAGAAGATTTTCATAGAAACAATGCATTTTCACTATATAATCAATAGAGCCCCGCCCTAACACCGGAACCCCTGACCCTGGGGCCATGAAATTCACAATTTTTAAAAAGGCATCCTTATGCATCATAACCGTGCACTTAGTTTGTTTAAATAATCTCCAGTAGCAGAGAAGAAGATTTTCAAAAAATCAATGCATTTTCACTATATAATCAATAGAGCCCCACCCTAACACCAGAACCCCTGACCCTGGGGCCATGAAATTCATAATTTTTGAAAAGGCATCCTTATGCATCATAACCATGCACTTAGTTTGTTTAAATAATACCCAGGAGCAGAGAAGATTTTCAAAGAATTAATGCATTTTCACTATATAATCAATAGAGCCCTGCCCTAACACCAGAACCCCTGACCCAGGGGCCATGGCTTTCACAATTCTGGAAGGGGCCCACCTCCTCATCATAACTATGTACTTAGTTTATCACCTTAATGCCCAGGAGCAGAGGAGAAGATTTTCAAAGAATTAATGCATTTTCACTATATAGTCGATAGAGCCCCGCCCTAACACCAGAACCCCTGACCCTGAGGCCATGAATTTCACAATTTTGAAAGAGGCACTCTTGCTCATCATAACTATGTACTTAGTTACTTTATTTAATACCCAGGAGCAGAGAAGAAGATTTTCAAAGAATTAATGCATTTTCACTATATAATCAATAGAGCCCCGCCCTTACACCAGAACCCCTAACCCCGGGGCCATGAATTTCACAATTTTGGAAGAGGCACTCTTGCTCATCATAACTATGTACTTAGTTACCTTATTTAATACCCAGGAGCAGAGAAGAAGATTTTCAAAGAAATAATGCACTTTCACTATATGATCTACATAGCCCCATCCTGGGGTCAGAACCCCTGACCCAGAGGCCATGAATTTCACAATTTTGAAAGAGGCACTCTTGCTCATCATAACTATGTACTTAGTTACTTTATTTAATACCGAGGAGCAGAGAAGAAGATTTTCAAAGAATTAATGCATTTTCACTATATAATCAATAGAGCCCCGCCCTAACACCAGAACCCCTGACCCTGGGGCCATGAATTTCACAATTTTGGAAGAGGCACTCTTGCTCTTCATAACTATGTACTTAATTACCTTATTTAATACCCAGGAGCAGAGAAGATGATTTTCAAAGAAATAATGCACTTTCACTATATGATCTATGTAGCCCCACCCTGGGGCCAGAACCCCTGACCCTGGGGCCATGAAATTCACAATTTTGGTAGAGGGCTCAATGCTTATTACAATGATGCCAACAGTTTGACTGCTTGATGTCCAGGAGTAAAGAAGAAGATTTTTAAAGATTGCATTATTTTTGGTGGTTTTATCCCCACCCCTCAGGCCCCAGGGGGGCAGGGACCATGAAATTCACAATTTTTGTTCCCCTTCACCCATAGATGCTATATGCCAAATTTGGTTGAAATTGGTTAAGCGGTTTCAGAGAAGAAGCTAAAAATGTTCAAATGTTAACGCACAACGCACCCCGACGGACGAGAACGGATAGCAATAGGTCACCTGAGTGACTCAGGTGACTTAACTAGAGGGGATCGGTTTTTGAATCTTGAAGTCTTTCAGTGGCCCTGTATGTCAAAAACTTCAAAAAAAATTCTCTAATTATACCTATAAAGTCCAGTGTGATCGTGTTTTAATACTACCAGTCGAGCAATAGGCTTTTCATAATAATTCACGACATTTTGCGTTGTTTAAGCATTTTCAGCATCATCTTAACAATCCATTTTTTTAAGAAAAAAAAAACAAATTAAAAAATTAACAATCATTGTCTTTGGTCTTTTACGTGGATCCATTCATTTAGACCACATAATTGTAAATTTTTAATCAAAAGAACTTTGAAATTTTAAGTTGTAAAATCAGCATTTAATACTAATTATGCATTACAATTTCATATTATTTGACACTTTCAAGAATACAGCGTGTCGGCTGCAACAAAGTTATTACTGTACTTATTCTCTGAGCGTTCAAAAACAGAAGAGTCAGAAACTTTGCATTCACATAAAACCTGTCTTAATGCCTTCCGGAATTTTCTAGAACTGGCGACATATAAGTAGAAATTAACAGCATGATTTGTAAACATGAGGAGTTCAGCAAAGGAAAACATTTTGTTGAACAGTTGACGATTAATATCAATAGGTTGAGAGAGAGTTTTCAGCACCGCTGTCACACAAAGCATGCAAACCATAGGAAATGTCGTTATTACAAATGTAAGCGACAGAATCACCATCATCACCGTCAACTTTTTTCTGACATTAGTCTTCTTTGTCATGAAAGCCTTTACATTTGTCAAGGAAATGTTTAGCTGGGAATTTCTCTTCATTCCGCGAATTTTTCTTATAATTTTGTAATTGAAGATTCCAGTACTTAGAAATGGAATGACGAAATACACCAGTAAGTCAACATAAGGCCAAATAAGGGTGATGTCTTTCCGTTGACCACACACAGTAGAATTATTGCTGTCCGGCATAAGACCTATTGTCCAGAATATGTGGAGATTTATCAAAAGGATGAAGACGAGAATTAGGATAATGATAAACACCGCCTGACGGACCCGGCAAAGAGAGGTGGCCTTTAGTGGATGACACATTGTCATGAATCGTTCGAAGGTGACAGCCATCACCAACCAAACAGACGAATCGCTGCAGACGTAGCCAAGAAACGTTAGAGTCTTACACGAGAAACTTGACAGGGAGTGGAGGTCAATTTCTAGAATCTCTCGAAGCCAGATGACCAGTAAACCAAGATGGAGCACGCACAAGTCCAGTATACACAAAACCAAGAGGTACATGTATGTGGACACACGACGCGCAAAATGTGGCATGACAGTAAGAGCCAAAACGTTCCCGACCACTCCTACAAAATAGACAAAAGGTCCTCCAAAAATGATGGTCTCGTTCCTGACACGTTTGGGGGGTTCGTCTTCCTTGATATCAAAGTAGTCGAGAAGGTCATCAATGCTCAAGGTTGAATTGCTAGTCATATTTAGTGACCTAAGTATATGAAGGTGCATACCATCCATTTTTTAATGGTGTCCCTTTGTTTCAAAGGAGTCCTATTTTATGAATGATATGAAATCAATTCACACAGCAAAAGATGAAATCTTTTTATCTATGGTTGTTATGTTTGGAATTTCTCCTTAAATGTTGCTACTTCAGATGTGTTAATGAATAGAATCTTAGGTGCTAATTGAATTTTGTCATTCATCAGTAATTGGACACATCCTTGAATTTAAATAAAATAGAATGAATGAATAGCAGTATTTGATCTTTTGTATTTATGATAAAAAGAATAATTCAGAATTATTAATGACGTCTATAAAACTACACTGTCTCCAAGACGTTAATATAATCGCCAAGGCTTGGGGATAAAAAGTACACAACTCGTTAAATTGGATAAAAATCATATCAAACCATGGGAGATTCATTTTATCACACGTTTTACACAGAGCTATCACATGTTTTACATTGGTTTTATATATGATTAAATCCACTTCATTTGACTTCATCACTTTCATGTAAAAACCATTGTCACACAACTGTTGATATAAAAACGATATCATATGATTGATATCCACTGCACAAAGGAGTAAACATGTGATTAATATAGGGTCTCCAATGATTTGTGGTTGGATATGATTTTTTATCCAATGATTTTTTTAATCTCCGAGCCTTGGTGAGGGATTTAAAAAACAATCAGCGAGTTGGATAATAATTATATCCAACCACAAATTATGAGAGATTCGATTCTTTTTATCACATAAATCATCAACTTCCCTTACTTATGCAGTAATATACCTTTATCACCTGCATACGGGATTTATATCTCTCAGTTGAGCATGCTCTACATATGAACAATTTCTAAAACGAGGTAAGTTATTGACAAACAAGTTGATGAAACAAGAATATCAGCAGTCTCGTTTAAAGTCGCCATTTCGTAAGTTCTATGGTCAATACAATGACCTTGTCAGCAAATACAATTTATCATTAATTCAAATGCTGACTGACTTCTTTTATACTAATTGTTAGGCCATTATTTACACATTGAATTGTCGACGGATTTTCCCGTTATTTCCCGATCATGACAAGGAGCACAAGCCGAGTGTGACCGCTCGGCAGGGGATGCTCACTCCTCCATGGCACCTGATCTCACCTCTGATGTTTTAGAGGTCCTTGTTTGCTCTGCTCCAAAATTTGTATTGATTAATGGACCCTTGAGCTTGAATACTGTTCGTTATCTCCATACATTTCATGTTTTATATATAACTTTCAATGTTTTACATTGTTTTTATATATGATGCTACATTCTTTTACTTCATTACCATTGTGGCGTCACAACTGTGGTATATGGAAAAAATATCCAATGAGTGATCTCTATACGTGATAACGGGGTAAATATGTGATAAAAGAATATTCAAAGGAGTTTCTATGAAAACATTCAGATTTAGAATTACATTTTATTTCTCTGTCCTTTACATACGTTTCTAAATTGTCATTTGTAACCTTTAATTTGTATAAAAACATTAAGATATAAAATTATAGCTTTCTTTCTCTGCCCTTAGCATACGTTTCAAAATTGCCATTAATAACCTTTTATATTCTGTCTAAAATATTAAAATAAGCGAAAGACAATTTAATTCTTGCATGGCATTTTAATCTCGAATTCGAAAGGTATAAAAAAAAAATAATCTAATTTAAAATTTATCCTCTGAAACGAAGAAAAAGATAACAATCATAATAACAAGAACGATTGAATAAAAATATCTCGAAATAATAGAATAATGTTCTCGTTATATAAGACCTCTTATTATTAGACTTAATTTTCCGTTTTGTTTTGTTTGATTTTTTTTCTTCTTGACAATGTTTGAATTAGTTAAACTAGGGAAAGATATAATTACTAAAAAAAATCCATTTCCTGTACAAGACACTTTCTTTTTCTTTAGAAATTACCTGATTGCACCCCCTTATTTGTGTGTTATTTATTTAAAAATATTCCCTTTTATTTTTTCTGTAAGTAGTATATCATAGCCATCCATTTATTCAAATAAACCAGGATTTGGCCAAACTCTATCTTCACCACACTACATGGGAATACATGCATATCAATATCACCAATAGCCTTTTGCTCTTGATACAAAGATATTAAACGAATTGCCATCCTATTTATTTCTTTGTCAAATGCCCCATCATTGACCACATTTTGAAAATTTGACGAAGATGATGTTTGTATTTTTTTGATCGAGTCGAGTTGGGTTAAATGTCGAGTTGAAGACCACAGCAAGTGTTTTCTTCTTCTCATGTGTAAGATTTTAAATAAATTCTTTTTCATATGAATACAAAAATGGTCTGCTAATAATTGGGCGCAATTGGTACCCATGGGATTGTTGGAAGACTGGCCCCAGGATCATGAAACATCTTAAGCTTAAGTCAAAAAATGTATATTCCACTAAAATGATTTAGAAAATTAATGTAGCAGTCCAAAATGAAAATGCTTTTTCACTTTGCAGCAATAAACTGCTGTTGCATGCAAATTACGAGTTTAGATTCACAAGTAATAAATATTTTATGGACGACTGAAATTTTGACTTAAGTCTATTTCATGATCCTGGGGCCTGGTCTCCAAAAACCACCTAGATATTTAGATATATTGACAATAGCTATTTCCATTCACATGTCGACACGATATACTCCAGTGAGCTTGAAATAAAAGATACCACAGAGTCTGGTACATCTGTTTCATATTTAGATATTTTACTAGAAAAAGACGATAATGGTAATCTGACAACAAAGCTTTATGATTAGCGTGATGACTCTAACTTTTCAATCGTCAACTTCCCTTACTCCCTTATGACTTGCATATGGGGTTTATATCTGTCAATGATTCAATACGCAAGAGTGTGCGCTACGTATGAACAATTTCTAAATCGAGGTAAGTTATTGACAAACAAATTGATGAAACACGAATATCAACAGTCTCGTTTGAAGTCATCATTTTGTAAGTTCATTTGTTGATACAATGACCTTGTCAGCAAGTACAATCTATCACTAAGTCAAATGCTGACTGACGTCTTTCATACTAATTGTTAGGCCATTATTTACACACTGAAATGTCGACGGATATTTCCATTATTTTCCCGATCATGACATAAAGAGCACACGGCGGGTGTGACCGGTCAGGGGATACTCACTCCTTCATGGCACCTGATCCCACTTCTGATATTTTAGAGGTCCTTGTTTGCTCTGCTCCTGAATGGACTTGTGAGCTTGAATAAATTAATGTTCGTTATCTCCATATATTTTATGAAACTCGGACATTTTAGTGTCTTGTGATTGGTCATCAATAAAATAAAATCCTTAAAAATCACTCTGATTCAACACAAAAGTATACTGATATTAAAAGGATGCTGGAGTTCCTCATTGACAACATTTATGTAGTCTTCAGAGACCAGGACTTCCTAGATGTTGGAAATGTGATGGGCACTAATTGTGCTTCTTTATTAGCCGACTTGTCTTTATATTCCTATGAATTTATTCAAATACTTCTACATGAGAAGAAAAAAAAACACTTTCTGTGATCTTCAACACGACATTCAGATACATGTATATCTGTGATGTTTTGATATCAATTAACAGTAGTTACTTCCATTCATATGTGGACTCTATATATCCCAGTGAACTTGAAGTAAAAGACACCACTAATCTGCCACATCTGTTTCATATTTTAATTAGATGTTTTACTGACTATAGACGATAAAGGCCAACTAACAACTAAATTGCAAAATGGTAAATGCAAAAAGAGATCGACCTTTTAAAAGCTCAAAAAATTCTAATTAAGACTTTTAAACAGTACATCTTTTCAAGTAAAATTAAGTACTGGGGCTTTAAAACATGTAATTACTGATAGAATTAGAATTGAAAAGTTTATACTGTTTAAAAAAATGTCAATGTGAGGAATTTACAAGACATAGTCAGGAAATTGATGAAAAACTTTAAAAACTCTAAAATCATTTTTATTAACAATATATTGAAAAGTTTAGTTCCTCCTTTTTCTTCCCCCTTCTCTCTCTTTCTTTCTCAATCTCTAAAAATTCTTTCACACATGTTTTGTATTGTATGTAATTGGGATTGTTTGCATTTGTGATATGTGCGAATTAAGAATAAATAATTTTTTTTAAAAAATACAACAAAATTGTATGACAAACAGAATGACTTCAGCTTTTCCATCGTTTCCTTGTTGACTGACCGACGTTTTTCATACTAGTAGTTAGACCACTGTTTACACACTGAGTTGTCGACTGATTTTTCGTTATTTCCCGATTATGACAAGGAGCACACGGCGGGCGTAACCGGTCGGCAAGGGATGCTCACTTCTCCATGGCACCTGATCCCACCTCTGATTTTTAGAGTTCCGTGTTTGCTCTGCTCCTGATTTGTATTGTTTGAATGGACTTTTGAGTTTGAATACTGTTCGCTATCTCCATATATTTCATTGCTTAATTCCCCTTGGAGGGAGCATGACCTTACATTTAAACAAACTGAATTACTTTACCCAAGAACGATGTGGCAAAATTTGGTTAAATTTGATTATGTGATTCTTGCGGATGTGAAAATAAACGGCATACAAACAGACGGACAAGCTTAGATCAGAAAACTCACCTGTGCCTTTGGCTCAGTTGAGCTAAAATCAATTTGCAGAGGTTGTGAGAAACCTCACATTATTTATTCATACAGTCTAATGATCTTAAAACTGCAGAGTCTGTGTACATTTAAAAACAGTCGGACTACCATCCTCTGGTCACGTCCTATTCTAGTAAGTAATTTATAATTTGTGTAATAATTGGACATCATGATTTCTCCTTTATCTTGAAATCAAGTAAAATAGCTTAATTTTCATAATGTAGACTGCAAAATTACTTGACTGTCATGAAAAATCATGGATTTATTAAAAGATTAGCGATATGTTATGTTATGGTGTCAATGATTAAAAAAGAATTGA